TGTTTACTAAGAAAACAAATTACAGGTCGATTTTCCTGACAATAAATTTTAAATCACTGAAAGTAACATTGGAAACATATATAACTTGCCGCTGACAATGTGAACTTGAGCTTTACTTTCTTTATGGCTGCCTGCGATGCATACAAAATGAGCTCTCGCGCCCAATATGGCCGACTGTCTTTACCTAAAATTTCATCAACATGACGCTCAATATCAACATTTTCGTGACTTCAGATGCTAAAGATCAAAACATAACATTGTGATATTGATATAATTTTATGTCAGATGGAAATTACTATTTTATTTGATTTGTACTGGTCAGAAATTGGATTTCCGTGACGCATTTGTAACCAATAGACTTTCGACCTCGCCAAGGAACAGGCAGCCATTTTACGATCATCAAGCCCGCCACCGTATGCGCATATAGTGTAAAATAACTAAACTAAGTATGTAATATTTACCTTAAAACGCCACCTTGCTGTGCCAGTCACGTATAATACTCTGGCTACACCTTGGCATGCCACTTGAGTGACCTGTTTACCCTTGAAACAAAACGACAACAATCACAACGTCATTCACACGAGGGGCCACAGTTAAAATTACAACACCTATCGCACGAGGGCGCCCCATTTAGAAGTTCCTGCCATTCAACTTCATCCAAATTCCCAGTACACCGAAATGATTAAAAAAAAACAAAATACCTCTTACTAAATTTTTCAATTTGTTTACTACTGTAAAGTAATTACAAAGGGATCATTAGAAACTCAGGCAAGAACAGACTATTGCAGTATTTGGGAAAATCAATCCTACAGAGATCAATATCAGAAAAAAAAATCACACAGTGAGGGAATAAATAACAGCAAATTAATTCATCATGGAAAACAATTTCCGCAAAGCTGAGTGAAGAAAAAAACATGTTTTTCTCATTGCCCTACCCCACCCTTACTGAATTTCTAATGGTCCACTGTCATCCAGACAAGTGAGTTTCTATTACAAAAATGTTTTGATTATATGGGAATGGAAAAAAAAAAAGTTTCCTTGAACTCCCTTTAAATAAATTGAAAAAAAAAATTCCTAAGTATATTAGACTACTTTCATACATGTAACAGAGTTGGATAAAACCATTCAACGATGTATGTAGATTTTACAAAAGGCTGGAAATATGTTAATACCAGTAGTATTTTTGAAAAATACTGGTGTGGCAACAACCCTCTCTGACTTAAACAAAGATCGCATTATACATAGGTTCAACAATTAAAGTTACAATTAGTTTAATTCATTGGCCTTCAGCATCCCCCCAATTGTTTCTGGTCCCAAGAAATTTAAAAATATGAGTGCTGCATCCATTTCTTTTTGGATTTTTGTCATAACTGTTGTCAAACTTAACAAATAAGTGTGCTACAATACTCCTTTTAAACTAGCATGTATACTGACTAGGAATAAATCTTCATTAGGCCAATATACTAGTACTAGTACATAGATTGTTTGGCATACAAGAAATTGCAATTGCATACAAAATGCATGGGACAATGGCTGCAATTACCCATAATTCAATGCGATTTTACTGACTGATATACCGGTAGGTTATCAAATGTCACGAACACATGGCAGTCTGTGTCGATATTTAAATCACTCTGGAAACATTTTGAATGTTTTTCTTTCCTTCTGTTCTCCAAATATTTTGTGGTCAATCATACAAAACAATCTTAGCTAACTCGGGAAGTCCCCCCCCCCACACCAGCATTTGGTCGTGTATTGTGTCACGTCTTTGAATAAAAGAGGAAAAAAAGAGATTACACCTCCACCCCACCCAAAAAAAATTAGAACCAATTTTAGCAACATAAATTGTCTCATAAATTCAACATGATTCCCTATTACAAAACATTCATTTAAAAAGCAAAATCAACAGACTCCCTAGGGAATACAAGGTGATTCTAGATTCACTACGAGGTATCACGAATTGCATGAAAAGTGGGGATCATATGTCTGTTGCAAAAATCAAACTAATTGATTTTAAACTTGATTTGTCTTTGTAGTTCTATGTCAAAATGCTGATCTTTCAGACAGAAATACTGTAAAACATGTCTTTTTAGCTCGTATACTATTTTAGCTAATCTGTAATTTTGCTAATTCAAGATGCAGCTAATTAACAGAACATCTAATATCACAGGAAGATAGTCGACACTTTAGCTAAATTAAAGGGGGGCAGTCATCGTGACGCACCCCATTCGATATGGGGGTCATAGCGATGTATACAACACTTGTAAAATACATTGTTTATTTACATAAAATTCGAACACGCATGGCGCGACAACCACTGTGCTTCAAGATTCTCTTAATTCATGCCAAATAGTGTCAAATCCGCTAAATTGCATGCAGCTATTTCAACATGTTTTACAGTATTGCCTGGAGATACACTTACTTTATTAAAATTTACCATTATTGAGCAGAAATACTAAAATACTTTTGTATTTGTCAAACTCTATACAATGTTTTGACGCCACTATGACCTTTATCTGTCCTTTTTCATATTTGATTTCACACATAATAGAGGATCTCACAGTGGACAGAAAAATGGTCTATTAATAGGCTCCACAATATTGTGCAAATATTTAGTTAGAACAACCCACCAAAACCATGCATAATCCATAAAAATAAGAATACTAGTACTGTATGTTACAATGTTTATTCAGTAAATAAACATGAGCTTACATTATATTTCCAACTTAATATTTTCAGGGTGTCCTATTTTACTGAAACCAATTTGAGACAGACTAAGCTACAATTCAACCTCTAATTTGATGACATACAAAATGCCTTGATAGTTTAAATAGCTTGCATACAAGTCTCAAATTAGAACCTTTAGGTGATCACCCCCCAACATTCAGGACTTGCAATGAGCACAGCCCAACACACATACACACATAAACCGTGCTAAATCATATGCATTTGTATGATCACCTCTGTCATCATACATATACTTAAAACTTTGTTTCGCCCATATATATTTTTATTGCAAGACAATTCCATAGTTCTAAGAATCTTAAAGGTATCCCGGTACTTTGTGAAGAATAAGGTAAGGTTAACCATCTTCACCATTTTCAGGGGTAAACCAGTACATATAGGAGAGGGGGGTTAAAGAACACACATGTGGGATATGTCACTGCAAAAATCTGACCCTCCCATATCATCAGTTGACCACTCCTAAAGCAAGATCTCGAGGTAATTGTTGTAAGAAACGTGATCTATCAAAAGTACCAGGATGTAATAATTTGATGGAAACCATTTAAAATACAAAATATAGGAAGACATTTCCCACACACATTTGGACAAAATTAATGTTTCATTCAATAATTTTTTGCATTTCTCTCCTCCTAAGAAGAATGATGAATCAAGCAAGTCATTAAATAAAGTAAAAATTTCTGCAGCTTTTCAGTTTGGTATAGTTTTCTCGTCAAACAAACTAACTCTTCTTTTTTTGAAGTCAGAATAACCAAAAACATGCAAAAAGCAGAGATAAAATAACACAAGTTATATTTCTATCGGCAAAGGAGCTCGCTATAAAAATAACAAAGGATAAAATAAACCTACAGTGGCAATACACATAAAATATATAATTTATACAAAGCACTGCAAAATGCATTTCCTCATACTTCAGGGTCAATATTTGATTCAGGGTCAATATTTGGTTCAGGGTCAATATTTGATTCAGGGTCAATATTTGGTTCAGACTCAATGAATTGCAATATGAATGCCAACGTATCTGGGATGTAGATGTCATCCAAGAATACTGTTGTTTATGCATTTACTTTGGTGCAACATTTGGTATTTTTTAAGTGTTTTTTCTATAATTTGTTAACATTGGACCAGATGAATATAATTTCCAATAGCTAATCAATATTTCATACATGTTCAGTGTATGAAAGGAAAGGAAAAGTTTACATTGACCAGTTAAAGATGTGATGGGAATAAGCTTTGGTTGACAGATATAACTATTAACTACTACAGTAAGGCAATATATGGGGAAAATATTCAATAAAACAGAGGACTCAAACGCTTTGCATAACTAGCTTGCATTCTACCATTGTCATTGTCCCCAGGAGTAAGACATCTACATGTACTAGCAATATATATGTACATATCCAGTATCCTGGATAATTTTTACTGCATGTACTGGGAGAAGAAATGCCATTATAAATGTCAGTAGAAATGAACCATTTTGATGCTGTGGTGGGTTAATGTCAACAATTAATCACAGTCCGTGTGCTTCCATAGTACCACCTTCTCCCAATGTGAGTTTACAAATCTATTGTATAAATCAAATGGCACAGTCTTAATTGATTGTAAATATGTAATTCTGTAAAATAGTATCGCAGATATTAAAGTAGTTTTACAATAATGCCCTATACTACGATGAACATGAATGTTTAACTAAAATATGCCTAGATAGAACGCTTTCAATTTACTGTTTGCAGCTGCTTCATTGGAACTTAAAAGTTTGGTATTATCAATTTGCTTTCTACGTAACACAGGAAGCATAAATTACTTATAATTAGAAGTTCATGCAAAGTCAATATTTCAAAAAGAACACTGCAGTACAATGAGTTAATGTAGATAGTAAGCATAAAATATTGGGAGCTTAATATGAGTCATTATGCTCCATAATTGATCATAATTTAACATGCACTAAATCATATCTTGTATGTTTACTTTTTAACAGTAACAAAGACTGGTGTCATGGCAACAAATGTTTTACCAGTTATAAGCCAATCATCAGTTGTATATTCCATCTCTGTGACCTTATAAAGGTCACACAGCCTGGGTTTATTTTTTGGGTAGATTATCTTTCAGTGAAGTATTTTGTATTGCAATTGGAAAAAAATTCTAAGCAGGAATCACATAGTCAGAAGAACTAGGATGTGTGAACCTTTGAAACAGGTCACATGACTGGATCAGAATCATTGATTAAAAGGTTTAAGATGCTCCAGTTGAAGTTCTAATGCTACTCGTTCTTCCATCACTTGTTTGAGTTCTTGTTGAAGTTCACCGTTAACCCTTGATAGCGTTCTATTCCTTTCTTTAGCATTTCTAATTGAAACTTGTATCGTCTTTTTGTCTCGTTTTCCAGAAAGTAATCTGAAACAAGAAAACACTGTTTAGATGCATGAACACTTCCAAAACTGGTAATAGAAAGCAACATGACATGACAATTATTTCTTACACTCCAGTCATAATATGTGATATTAAAATAAATTGACTTACTGGGTAACAGATACTGGCGGTGCAGAAGCATGTCGTTTCCTTTCTTTGCTAAAATCTTCTTTATTGTCAGACTGCAATTCATCTCCAGACAAATGTCGCCCTCTATCAACTGATGGTGGAGATGGTGCCTGATAAGAGAATGAAGAGAGATAATTGAGAGATACAAATTTCCCATCTATGTCCCTATAATGTGATTTCAAAGATTCAATATGGAGCAGCTAAATTAGGATTTTAATGTAAGCAACTTTAATTTTTTGAGTGACTTAATTTTCCTGGGTTAATTAAAACTTTTTGTAGCATTGACAATTATCTTCTGGTCTCTGGTCTTGGAGATAAAGTGACTTTCATGAAATTTTGTTCTCACAAAGCAATTGAATTATCAAGTTACAAATATTCATAGTGATGAATGATTCATAGTACGTGTGTCATAAACACAGGTTATCCTGGATCGGAATGATTCATCAGTTTTGGGGATCGTCATTCTCAGTTGTATGCTGGCTGTTCATCTTACTATCTTATTTTAAGTCTGTCAATTTTGTTAACCACTGAATAGGAACACCCCTAGAGATAGATGAAGAATACAGATACTAAAGTTATGGCTCTTACCTTTCTTTTGGTAGTTTGACTTTTGACCTCTGGACTACTGCCCTCAACTGTACCTTCTGAAAGTAGGATACTTATTTTAGTCTCATAAGCAGAACTTAGCAAGCAGTATTGTCTTGGTCCTTTTTATTCGGGGCCAGCATTTAACATTTGTGTATTTTGAGACATGTATATTATCGCATAACAAAATAATCTATATAATGAATTATACACTAAAGTAACCTTTACAAATTGTATAAACAAATCCAGAACAAAATGAATAAAAATAATACATGTAATATTCTCAAAACCATATAAAAATAGAACTCACTTGCGGGTTCAACAGGTCGTGGGGGTGGTGCTGGTCTTGTATAGTCTTCTAGCGATTTCTAGATAGGCACAAAAAATAACAAATTCAAATGATTTTGAGCCTAAGAAGTTTCTTGCTGCAACACCCGTGTTGGGATGTTAGAGTGTGTTTTTTCAAAATGATGTCACTAAGCATATGTTATGTTAGTTATTCACAAAGTTGTTTACATGATGAAGTCAAGTGGATAGAGTAACAAGTCATACACTAAATACAGCAATTAGGAAATGTTACATAGAAGATATGAACAATGGGTTGAATTTTTGTGCACATGTCAATTTGTGAGGATTCATGAGTATGAAATAAGCAAATGACTGTCAAAAACTATGATTTCACAAAATTAAAGCATTCTACAGTAGTGCATAGTCCGATTCTCACGCACATGAAGCAGACAATCCATGGTAGTCCATACGAACCTGTGTGTGATTGTGTTAGGAAAATCTGTATTTGACTTCAGTAAAATTGAGTGATTTGGCTGGTCGCGCCAAGGAGCTGAAGCCAACAAGTCATTGTCAATGACACGTCCCCGTTCCGTTCATATTTGAGTGACATATACATTCAAAGCAGATCATGACCGAAATGCACCTGCATATGTACAACACATTGTGCTAAATCTGAAAAAAATCCATCCATGCATGACTGAGATCCGGTTCTGGAATTGTGAAAATACGTGATTTTGATGCATTTTCGGCCTTAAAATGGCCATCATTCCGCTATTGTTAAGCAGATCATGAAACAAATGCACATATCTATTTGTGACATGATGTACCATGTGTGTGTGAAGTTTGAACTTGATCAATCCAGACATGTCTCGGATACGGATCCAGAACTGAATTCTTTAAAACAAAATGGCCGCCAGTCGGCTATTTCGAACTTGATCCGAAAAAAAAAATGACGTGCATCAAGGTCCTATTATGTTTAAT